TAGAAGAACTGAAGAAGAGTAAGAGAAGTAGAGAACTGAGAGAGTGAGAGAGAGAAAAGAGAAAAGTAGAAAAGATAAAAGAGAAAACTGATGGGCAATGGAGACTGTTAGACTGGCAGTCTGGCACTACCGAACTTTCAATTGAAAGTTTCAAACTGGCAATGCCGAACTGTCAGACACTCAAACTGACAGTCTGGCATTGTTAGACTGGCAATGCCGACAGTTTCTCAGACTGCCGAACTCTTTTAATTGAATTTCAAAATAAATAAAAATATAAAATATTATATATATCGGTTGGTTCGGTTGACCGCTGGTTTTTTAAATGGTTAACTGAAACCGAACTGAAACTATCGGTTTTTTAAGAATATCGAACCAAAACCGAACCGACCGGTTCGGTTAACCGAATTTTCGGTTCGGTTTCGGTTGGGTTTTTCCACCGGTTCGGTTTTTTGGTATTTTTTGCTCACCCCTACTAAAGATGAAGTATTAGCTTTGCTACAAGGGTTAAAACTTGCCAAGCAAGCAGATCTTAAGAACTTGGAGATAGAAGGGGACTCAAAAATAGTGATATCTTGGACCAACTCAAGCGGGAATGTTCCTTGGATATACAAACATCTGTTGAGGGAGATAGTAAGCATAGCAACGGGACTTAATGCCTCGTTCACATGGATCAGGAGAACTGCAAATGGAATGGATGATTCTCTAGCCAAACAGGGAGTTCAAAGTTAACAGCTCATTTGGGATTTATTCTTACAATTTCTGGTGCAATGTCTGTTTTCTAATTGCTGTAATTCTGTATCTAATTCTCTTAATTGAATAAAATTCTCATTTTGCTGATCAAAAACAGAAAAAAGGATGTACAGGTGGCTGAAAAGGGACATGGAAAATACTACTGTGGGTAAAGAGGACTGCTAATTCCTTTGCGGATATGCTTGCAAAATAAGGGGTGGGAAGGGAAAGTCTATTTTGGGCTTTGTTGTAATTGATTTCTGTCTTGGGGAGAGTTAAGAGAGTGTTTACCTCTCCCCTTGTACTTTATTGTAACTGTTTTATAATTTTTAATGAAATTATCGGTTATTGATAAAAAAATATTCTATATTTATATACATTTTTATAGATGTATAAAAATAAATATTATTATTTTTAATTTTTCTTTATTTTTGATGACAATATAGTGGACTCCGATTATATTTAAACCCATACTCTGAAGTATTGGACTTGGATTGGGTTCGGATTTGGAATTTCAATAATTGGAATCCCATCCGAATCTGACCCGATTACAGCCCTAATCACAGCAGGCCACAGCAGGAAACTGACCTTGGAGGGAACCAGGGGCCTCCAAATCAACTTATTGGGAAACAAGGTGTTTCTGGGTGTTCTCAAGTGTCTTTCATAGGATCTGACAGTAAATATGCCATTGTTCTCCCATTTCCAGCACCACCCATCCTCCTGCCCTGCTCTTAGAGTTATATTTTCTCAACAGTTTAAGGTCCAGCACACTCTCCATCTCCCAGTCATRCAAATTTCTCCTAAAACTTGGAGACCAAACCACACTGCCCCCACTACCCACCCCCCAAAGTATTTGATGAGAATCTCCCAGAGATGCTTCTTTATTCTCAGCTAACTGGAAAAGCTCGGGAAACAACTCTTTCAGCCATCCTCCATCTCCCACCTTACACGATACCCTTTTAGAGAAAGAGATGCAAGATTTCATTACTCCCTTTCAAACAGTGCATCTGTAAGAAGGAAAAGAGTCTTCAGAGATCCAGTTGCCTCTAGAAACACCAAATTTTGAGTCTATTAGCTTCCTCCACCAAACCTCTCTATCAACCCTAAACTGCAAAATCCATTTCCCAAGCAAATCTATATTGACATCCTTACTCTTTTGATGCACAGACCTCCTTCATCGAAGGGAAGATAAAACTTCAATTTCTCATTGTAAATAACATGGTTTTCTGTCAAGTATTAACCTACTTTTAAAGAACTTTCTTTCCATTTCTCATTGTAAATAACATGGTTTTGCTTTAACTATTATGCCAACAAGATTAAAAATTTACTTGGACCGAGTTGCTAGTTGTTTTGCAAGGTCTGAGGCTGGTAAAAAATCTGAACTATCACCCATCAAAGAAAGAAAAAAAGGTAAGTTAGAGGTGACTACCCTTTACTTTTTGGGTAGTGATGCTTAGCACCCCCAAACTTTTATTTGTGATAAAGTCACCCTTGAACTTTCAGATTTCAACACTTTGTCCCCCTCTGTTAGCATTCTACCAGTTAACATAAAAAAAGATTCTCATGTGACTGTCATGTGCTTGTTAAACATTTCTAAATCCTCACTACCCTTCCCTTAATTTGTGGGACCATTTTGCCCTTACTCTTACATATCTGTACAAATCCTTTAGTTGTGTTTCTTTCTACTTATTTCTCACATTGAGGGTTTTATTTGATTAGGGTTTAGAAGAAAAATGGATGATAAAGAGATTGTTATTTTTGGGTCTTGTTATGGAGACATTGAGGTCTGATTGCTGGGTCCTTTGGTTGCACTTCTTTGGGTGATGTCTTATCACCTTTCTGTTGTATTTCTTTTCCTTTTTTTAATGAACTTTGATCTTTATTCTTCAAAAAGAAAAGAGATAATGTACTTTTCCCTGCCCATTTTCATCATTTTGAATTGTTGTTTTTTTGTCCATATGAATCTTGAAAGGGAATTTTCATAAATTAACTTCCTCCATCAATCCAGTTAATGAGGAGGAGGCAAAGTGTTGGAATCTGAAAGTTTAGGTTCTCTGTTGTAAATGAAAGTTTGGAGGGCTAAGTGTCACTACCCCCCTCCCCCC